TGATCATACATTTATTCTGGGCACCTGTTAGCCCGATGACAGACTTTGTAGTTTTTCCTTATGTTTCCTTTTCTGCTTTTGTTTTCTCTTTTGATTGCGAGACTATGTTGATTGTATTTGGTTGATATTTGGGCCCCTCTTGGGGTCTTGATCTATATGCAGGTTGGGGATCCAGCCCAATCCCCCGCCCCTGGGGCGTTTTTATTAAAAAAAAAAACCTAGCATCAACAGACAACTAACATAGCAACACCATACAACTAACATTGCAACATGATAAGACTAACCTAGCAGAGATATATAACTAACCTAGCACCAACAGACAGCTAACATAGCAACACCATACAACTAACATTGCAACATGATAAAACTAACCTAGTAGATATATATAACACTAACCTAGCACCAAAATAAAGCTAACATAGCAACACCATACAACTAACATTGTAACATGATAAAACTAACCTAGCAGAGATATATAACTAACCTAGCACCAACAGACAAAAAAAATGCTCTCACCTCTCACTAGCTTTCTCTCTCTAAATCTAGCCTTACACACTCCCACCCGCCGTCCATTTCTTCCTTCGCCACCGGTCGCCTCCGCCGGCTAGCCACGTCCACTCCCCGGCTCCTTCGCCGGCGGCCCTCCTGGCCGCCGGACCCACTTTCTTTTTTGTTCCTTTTTCCCTTTCTTCTCACTTTCTCTCTTTTTATTCGTTTTTCCCTTTCTGTTTTCCTCTCGTTTTTAGTTCAGTTATGGCATCTCACATGGCCAAATCACAATAAACAAGAGAAATTTCTGAATATCCTGTAAATCAATTGGGGATTGGTTCTTAGAAACAAGGGCAAGATAAATCTAATAGCAAGGGCCGATAGGATTCAATGACCCGTACAAAATCTCCACTCTATTCCGACGGGCCGATTAAGGATAATAGGAGTGAAAAAATCAAATCCAATGACCCGTTGTTAGCCATCGGGTCGATTCTCCCGTAGTCGGAACTTCCTTTGCCGAAGCTGCAGTCCGCCGCCGCAAACCTCTCTTTGACCGGTCAGTGCTCCATCTCCACACAAGACCAAGTAGGGTTGGTGCAAGAAAGTGGTTTGCCTTTGGGCCATCCAGCATCTTTGGGCCACAACATGACTGGGCCCACTTCATCTCAGCCCAATTTATATCTGCAGCCCTTAACTTTCAACCCGTCCTTGGGCCTCCCCCTTTACGGGCCAACCAATTCCATAAGCCATTTCAGCCAGCCCATCACTCATCATCCCCAGCCCAGCAACCAACACACACTTCTTCCAGCCCAGTCACACCTCTCCCAGCCTACTCATTGCCCGGCCACATTTAAAACCCAACCTTGCGCACACTAACTCCCATCTACAGCCTACCCTCTCAATCCCAAGCACCATCCACCAATCGGCAGAATTCAAACATCTCCTCGTCGGCATCGGCGCCGGCGCCGGCAGGACCACCGGAAACTCTCAGCAGGTCGGCATTTCACCCATGGCGGTTTTGGAAGTGGCTATTTTGAAGGGCTTTCTCGGACCCAAGCCAATTTCACCCTTTCTGACCGAACACCTTGCCGGTAGAATCATTCGTGCCGACGGAGCTCCCGAACCGAATGTCTTATATGTCCGGGAAGACGGGGTGATTGTTGAGAACCTGAGCAAGACGGTCGCCGTCCATTTTCCCAGTCATCCCCCGATTAAGATACCGCCGATGGGCACTTCCAAGGGCAATCCCGTTGCAGCCGGGCCACCCTCAGGCTCCTCCAATAGGCCGCTTTCCTTCTTAGAAGCTATTACGGGGAGAAAAGAGTACGGCACGGGCGTCACGCGCCCGACGACTAAGGATTTCACCCTTGACGGGGAATACGAGCATGCTTGCGGCTCCATCATCCGCTCCCAGGGAAACAAAGTGAAGGTTCGATTCTCCGAGATATATCTACGGCACGGGCGTCACGCGCTCTGTTGATTGACACCCTTATCGGTAAGTTAGCTAACACCTTGGTATTTAAGTTCTCTTATACCATCCCTCCCCCCGAGATATATCTACTGGATTAGGGAAACTGGGGTTTAAGGGTAGGTTTTCATTTAAGTGGTATAATTTTAACCATCTCCTAGTCTCCTTCCACCTACCTGAGGATTATAATAAGGCTTAGCTTAAGACCTCTATGTGTGCGGAGGGCAGCTAGGGTGTTCAAGTACACTTCCGGGTTCAACCCGAAGACGGAGACGCCTTTCGTCCCCGTGTGGTGCCGCCTCCCCAGCCTTTCACCACACCTTTATCACCGGGATTCCATCACCACACTTGCAAAGTGTGTCGGAAAATTGGTCTGCATTGATGGCCCGACAGCCCTCCAGTCGAGGGCTAATGTGGCACGGTTCTGTGTTGTGATAGATCTCAGGGTTGAGACCGTCCACGAGATTAAGATTGAGCAGGGTTCGGAGACCTTTTCTCAGCGGGTAAACTACAAGAAGATCCCCGCTTTCTGTTCATCGTGCTGCCATGTGGGTCATATAGCGGCTGATTCCTACATAAGTGGCAATAAGCCACGACCCACTCTGCCTCAGCGCCACCGTGTGTCTCAGCTGGGACCCTCTAACCGCCGGAGGGATCCGAAGGGAAAGGGCAAAGGCCCTATCCATGCGCCCGGGTCCCCAAAAGGGGCCAAGGACAAGGGCAAAGCTGTGATGGTCGTCACTGCCCAAACTGGGAAGGATGCTCATCCTAACCAGCCTAAGCAGTTGGCTTCTATTGTTCCCAAGGCCAAGACCTCGGGCTTCATTCCCAGAGACACCCTTCAGTCGGCCTTTAAGGCCAATCACTCGTTCTTTGTTTTCCTCTCCACTGAGGCAGAGGATGAGACTGAGCCCTCTACCAGTGATCCCCATAGGTCCTTAGATCTTCCTTTTTTAGACGATGATGACCTCCTTGCTGAGGATCTGAAGCAGCCAGATGCCTCG